ACATACACTTATTAAATATACACTTATTAAATATCCCTCCAAAGCATCTGCAGAGCCAAAGGGTTTGGTGATCCTCTCACTTCAAGTTGCAAGACTAATATATAACCTGTTCCAGAATTGATAACACAAACTACCTTCCTGAACCCAAAAAACTTTAAAATCTCAATGGCACGGTATTTTTAAAGCACCATCAATTTTCTTGCTCTAAACAAGCAAAAACTGTGTACTAACCACAGCTATTTGTGCAGTATATTGCAGAAAGAAAGAGCACAAGCAAAACAAGTGACTAAAAAAATCCAATTAGTTAAAGTTTTTGGCCAAAGTTTTACTTATTCTCCTGGCTTTTTTTTTTTTTTTTTTTTTTGGCTAGTTCCAAGGAATCGAACTCAGGACCTTGCGCTTGCCAGGTAGGTGCTGAGCCACTGAGTTAATACCCTCACCCTACTCCTGGCTTTTTAAAGTGATGGGAAGCTTCAGCTGGATTATCCAGCAGTCTGTTTCACAGGCTCTGAACTATCACCAGGAGAGCCAATACGAAAATTTTGGCAGTCGTCACAGCCAAATTCTTGTAACCTGCAAACCCTTGGAAAACTGCGACAGGTGCCATGTTTCACTCAGAATTAAACACAGAATTGCAAAATGAACAAAGAGGAACAACGGACATAAACTGGAAAAGGGTTTTCCCATTTCAATCATGGCAACTCAGATCGGCTCTGTTTTCAAGACAGGAAATAAAAAATTTACACTAAGTAGAACATCCTCCATACGGTCATCTCAATTAAAAACAAAAGTTCCACACTATATATACACACGAACATACTCATTTTAGTCCATATGAAAAGGTTCTTTTTAGGACACATTCAAGCACATCAGGTGCTAGGAATGGAAGCCTTGGAGGAAGTACTGCTTGACAGCCTCCTGAAGTCGTTAAAAAGTTACAAATGAATTAAACAGAAAGTTGGTCAAGGCCCAAAACAAAGGCCTCCAAATGCCTCACTTAACGGCTTTACAATGCCGAGGGTGAGAGGTTACTTCCTGAGCGGCAAATCTGTTTTTGTATCATATATTTTTCTCAATCAGAGTAGGTATCCCCAGGGCGAGGGAGAAAAAAAAAAAAAATCAGAAACTTAAGAAAAACACAGAGGAAACTGCAACGCTAAATTTCTCCTTAGTTCTGTTTCTTTACCTAAAAGTATTCAACAAAAGGTAATCAGAAAGCAAAGTCACTTCCTCCTTACAACCCCCACACCTAACACCCTATTTTACAAAAGGAGGCCTGGGGAGGAACGGATTAGCGCCCATCCGAGGACAGGCACTTTTCCAGACCGTGGAGGCTATAGATAGCGCTTTCTTCACCACCCAGAGACGAGTTCCAGAAGGGACTGGCAGCCAGGACGGCCAGCCCGAAGCCCAGATCCCCAGACCAGCTCTCAAGGTCCCTCTGGGCGAGCCGGGCAGAGTCGGGTTTCGCGGCTGTGTTAACCACCTCGGGGTCTCGCGCGGCGGCCCCCACACGCACTGCAGGAGGACGGGGCGCGGGGTGCGGGGTGGTGGGAGACTGCCTCAACCCTGTTCCAGAGAAGCCGATCGGGGGGCCTCGGAACAAAGCTGACTGGTGCAGCCCCAGCGCCGGCAGGAGCCCGCTTTCACGGAGCAGAGAAGAGGCGTCCGCAGGGTGCAGGAGAGGGAGGATGAGGTCTGAGGCTTGGAGGAGACGGGCACCCGGCCTAGGTGGCAGCGGGGACGCCAGGCCCGCCGATCACCAGCACTTTACTTTTTTGGGAGAAGATAGGGGAGGCAGTGTCGACATTCCTGCGCTAGCGGAGTGACGACCAACACGGATGGCGTGAGAGCCGCGGCTGGCTTTGGGCTTCCGTCGACCCCCGTGGGGCACCGGGGGCAGGTGTGTGGGGTCCCCGCCTGCAGCCCCGCGGCTCTCGGAAGAGCGTTGTCCGGGCGGAGGGTAAGGCCCTTACCGCTTGAAATCCCGCATGAGTCTCCTCCGCGCCGGGGTCGACATGCTCCCCAGCTGCCCCGCGGTCAGTCTGAAAGAAAGGAGTCCCGCGCAGCCCCCCCGCCCCCCGGCGCCGCGGCCGAATCACTGCGAGTCGCCGCCGCCTCCGCCGCCGAGACTGACAAACAACCCGCAGTGACGTCTCCCTCCGCCGCCGGCAGATCCCTCCGCCCTCCGCCCGTACCACGCGTGATAGGGGGTGCGGGTCGGGCGCGCTGGCGGGCCCGTGGGCGGCGGGGCGGGACCTGGGCTGGGCCGGACCGGTTTCCCGCTCGGAACGATAGCTTAGGCGTTCTTCCTGCCCGCCAGAGACGCCCTGGACTCGGGGACGCGGGGACCCAGACGCTACTCTGTCTCACCCCACCCCCGCCACTGATTTAAGTTCCCCGAAGGAGGCAAGGAGACGCATCCGGGGCCAGAGATTTCAGGGGGAGGGGGTGGGGAGTGACGTCAGGTCACGTGGCCGCGGGCGGCGTTGTCAACAATCCACCCCTGGGGGGAGGGGGCGAAGTCTCTAGAACCACGTGTCCCTGTGACGCTACTGGAACGGGTCACGTGAGCGCGCCGCCTGGGTCCGCGTTTCAGCCCGGCCTAGGACGCGGGCTCAGCCCGTGGGCCTGAGAGTCGGGGAGATCCGCTCTAAAGATTACACCTCGCTCTGTCTGGCCTGGCTACAGGGACACTCTGCAAGGGATCGTCTGTCCCGATGGGCCTTAAAACGGGGCTGATTCGCCAGCATGATGGCGTGCGTCTGTCTTTCTAGCGCTCTGGGAGGCCGAGGCAGGAAGATCACAAATCCAGGCATGGCCTGGACAACTGAATGCTCCTCCTGCCTCTCAGCCTTGTCTCAGAAAATTAAAAATAGGGCCAGGGCTGGTGCCTGATACCCCAGCATTGGGGAGGCTGAGGCGGGAAGATCACCATCAGTTTGCAGGCAGCTTTGTATCCGTCCTGGGTTTGACACCCAGGCTGCAAAAAAAAAAAAAAAAAAAAGGAACCAAAAATAATTAAGAGTTCTTTTCTGGTTGGTTGCGTGGCCTATCAAAATTCTGGTACAGGGCACAGGGAGGACACATAACTCTCACAGCGCTGAATCCTGAGGCCTACACAAAGTAAATGCCCCTGAAAGGCTTCCTTAGGGCCACCAAATCATCTCTTTTTGCACCATAGCGGGGTTTCCCGGGTTGGAAGTTGGGTAGAAATAAAAAAATGATGTACAAATACTTTGTATGAAGACTTCACAGAATAATGGAGATCTGACTTACTTTACAGGCGTTGTTTCATTTGAAGATTGGGTCGGAGTCCGAGGCTTTACCTAACATAGGGTATCCTAAGAAATGTGAGCTTCAGCGCGTGTCATTGGGTGGCTGGTTGTCACAGAAACCTACAAAAATGACTCAGATGGGGGGGGGCAGCCTGCAGACTGGGTGGGCGTGATGCATCTAGCCTGAGATGTTATTTCAGGATTTCTACATAGCCAGAAAGGTGCAAAGGATCCAAAGGACCCAAGGTGCCCCTTGCTGATTTCTCCCCAGAAATGTTAATCCCCTCTATTTCCTTTAGTCACTTGGTTCTCTCTCCCTCTCCCCTCTCCCCTCTCCGCTCTCCCCTCTCCCCTCTCCCCTCTCCCTCTCTCTCCTCCAGTGTTCAGTACTGTTGGTCAGGAAGATGCCCTACTTTCTTTGCTATGCATTTAGGGAGTTCCCCAGTTCACCAGGGGAGAAAAGTGTGGAACGAGGACTTTCACATTGCCCCAGGGATGCCAAGGGCCAAGGGAGACCTTTTTCTATCTTCCTGATCTTTCAACTCTAAATATCTCTTGCTTGCAGTAACTTTGGTGACTGAATTAGCCAGCCCTCTGTCTTGCTGTGCTTTCACTCTGTGATTCTCTGACAGCTCCATGTTCTTACCTTTACTTTTCTGCCTTCCTGCCATAGCAGTGCTACTCTCCCATTGCTAAGGAGAAAGACACCAGGGTTACATGCAGTGAAAGGCTAAAGAAAACTTTTTAAATTACACTTTCTACATACATAATGATCACATTCATGATGGGAATTTGTATGTAATACATCTTAATTCCTTTTTCCCCCATCTCCCTCCCTTTTTAATCCTTCTTTCCTTGTCCCATTACAAAACTGTTGTTTTCCTTCCATTTTAATGTATTTTTTACTTTTAGCAGTATTAAGATTGAGCCCAGGACCTTTGCACAAAACTTCACACGGGGCTACATTCCCAGCCCCACCCCCCAATCTAAAAAAAATTTTGAGGGGCTGGAGATTTAGCTCAGCCGCATAAGCGCCTGCCTTGCAAGCAGGCAGTCGTGAGTTCAATCCCCGGTACCGATAAAAAGGAAAAAGACAAAAAATTTTTTTGAGATAGGGGCTCACTACAGTGCCCAGGCTAGTCTTGAACTCAATGATCCTCCTGCCTCAGCCTCGCAAAGTGCTGTGTGTGCCATATACCTGGGTGGATAAACTGTATTTCTTAAAAATCTGTTCTGTTGGGGGCTGGGGATTTAGCTCAGTGGCATAAGCGCCTGCCTTGCAAGCAGGCAGTCATGAGTTTGATCCCTGGTACTGATAAAAAAGGAAAAGACAAAAAAAATCTGTTGTTACCTAGCAATTTATAGTTGTATTGGAAACTGATAGTCTATGACATTCCAAAACCTAGTAACATTTTTTTATATAACATTTTTGACAAATTCTGTGAATGTGTTTCATAACGCCCAGGAGAGGTGGATTAAATAAAAATTCCATGCTGTCCTGTTACCAAGCCTGCCAGAATTTGTGAAAAGAACAGTCTGAAAAGCTATAATTATATACTGTAGCAAGTTTGTATCTCTACATTGTGAAGACAAGGATTCACCCTGCTTCAGGCTTGGTCTGCAGCAATATTTAACCCACAACAAATACTTATAAATACAGTTAACAGCAAGTCTTTGCCCATTTAACTTTTATTATGACATTCTTTTTTGTATATAAAAATTATTTTTATAATATGGTTGAGCTCAAAAACAGTTTTGAGTATTTTGAATAATAAAAACCATGATACATCTTCTGATTATGCTCCTCTAACTTTAGCAGGTAGAAATACTTGTGAAGTTTTATAAAAATACTGGTTTCTAATAACACTGGTATAAATAGGCTCTGGGGTTCAATAGCTGATACCTCAAACAAATCCAATTGCTTTACTATACCAGTTAAATCAAGATTTCTGGAAGTGGGACTTTAAAGTTTTCCAGGTGTGATTTTCATGTGTGAGCTGGGGTGGGACACATTGTTCTAGAATTTATTGAATATTTCTCCTTATTTAGGGCTTGCATAGATAGGGTGGCTTTTTTAAAACTAGTTCCTGATGAGTGGTGGCTTTTTACATTTAACACTTCACAGAAAAGAAGTGCCCTTGGGGCTGGGGATTTAGCTTAGCTGCAAAAGCGCCTGCCTTGCAAGTAGGCAGTCGTGAGATCGATCCCCGGTACCGGTACCGATAAAAAAGGAAAGACAAAAAAAAAAAAAAAAAGAGAAAAGAACAGAAAAGACAAGAAGTGCCCTTGTGATATCCTTGTCACTGGAGGCTGTAACTGCAACCGATCCTGTCTATCCCTTGAAAAATTAAGATACCAGCCCTGCTTTTCCCCTCTGTGCCCTTGTGTATCACCACGTATGTAGCAGGGCCTTCTGAATCATCTGTTTTCCTAAGGAGAGAGGTCTAAGCATTTTGGCATGTACTGAAATTTTTAAAAGGTTTATTAGGAATTCAAGTTATTAGGAGTTAAAGATTTCTAGACAGCATAATGTAGATTGACTGGTATCTGGAATGGAGCTCAAGACCTCGCGCTTGCCCAGCAGGTGCTGTGCCACTGAGCTACCTTCCTGGCCTAGTTTTTTGGTTTTGTGTACTGGGGATCGAACTCACGACGTCACACTTGCCAGGCAGATGCTTATGCCACTGAGCTAAATCCCCAGCCCCTTAAAGCAGGTATTTTTAAAAGGACTGATCTTTCTTTCTTTGTGGTGCTGGCGATGAACCCAGAGGCGTGGCGCAGTCTAACTACACAATGTTCTGATGAATTACACTCCCAAGAAAGATTTCTGACTAAGAACCATCTTATCCCAATTTTAAGGATGCATGTGAACTGCTCAGGTCGCAGTGAAGTCCGTGGAATATTAATGTAACCGAGCAACTTGAAAAACTAAGCCCACAAGGTTTCCTTCGAAGTCTGGTTTTACAAATGTCTCTGGTTAACGACAACAGCCATCCCTTTAGGGCTCAGCACAAGCAGCTGAAGTTCTCAGGACAAATCAATGGCACAAATGGGGCACCGCCACCTCAGTTTCGCTTCCTTAGAAGCTGCTGTCACAATGCAGTCAAAACGTGAGGATCTAATCCTTTTCCGGCTTCAAATTAACCTCTGGTTCGCTCCCCTGAGACAGCCACCTGTACGCCCGCCCCTGCTGTCCGGCGGAATCCCACTCAGCGCTCACCCGAAGTACTTTCCGCTTCTGCTCACTTCCCCTTCCGGGTCGGGGCCCTGCCGGTATCCGGTCTGGGCATCTGGTCTGGCATCCGGTCTTGCGTACTAGGTCCCGAGCGTGGGCCCTTCCGCCCGGCCGTTGCCATGGCAGCCGGCGGCTGGGTCTGACGGTGAAGTCAGGGCGGTGTTGCGTTGTCGCGCAGAGACTGCGCGGCTCCAGGCCTGCAGGGACCCAGAATGGGCTGAGGTGGCGGCGGCGGCGGCGGCGAGGATCGGGCGCGACACCGGTCCGCCATTCTCAGACTTTGCCTTTGAGGAGAGGGTGGGACGGAGGCTTTCCCAGCTTCCGGGGCCTTCTTGACTTGACCTGAGCGTGACGGGAAGGAAGTGTGGGTTCCCACGCGTGATGGAAAGCGACATACAGCGAGGGAGGCTCATTATTGATGAGAGTGACTGAGGCAATAGGTTTCCTACATTCTGGGGAGCGTTTGAACCTCTCGGACAACTGCCACATGGCAGTTCCCGAAGTCATGGCTCAGTGGACAAATCCCCCCTTTTTAAAAAATTTCTTTATATATAAGGGCTGGGGATTTAGCTCAGCGGCATAAGCGCCTACCTTGCAAGCAGGCAGTCATGAGTTCGATCCCTGGTACCGATAAAAACGAAAAAGACAAAAAAAAAATTTTTTTTTTCTTTATATATTTGAAAGTAGGGGTTGGTTGGGTCTGTGGACTATACAATTTTAAAAATATATATATAAATGTTTAACCTTTTCCATTTTCTTTGTTTCTATGAAGTAGAAGCCAGGCTTGGAAATGGAGATGTACGAAACTCTTGGAAAAGTGGGAGAGGGAAGTTATGGCACTGTCATGAAGTGTAAACATAAGAACACCGGGCAGATAGTGGCCATTAAGATATTCTACGAGAAGCCAGAAAAATCTGTCAACAAAATTGCAACGAGAGAAATAAAGTTTCTAAAGGTTGGCTTCTTTTGCCTTAATTGCTCTGTCAAAGGAAAAATTGACGTGGAATAAAAGAATATGCCACTCAGCACCTATCCTAAGACATGTAATAGAAAAAACCTTATTGTCTACATCTTGTAATTTTACACTGATGCAAAATATGTGTTTTGTTTGTAACAAAGTTATGCCAAAGTTATTTAATCCTAAATATTCAAGTATATGCTTAGTTAAAGTCTACTCTGTGCAAAGCATTGTGCTGAGACTATACAGAGGTTAAAAATGGGTCTTTCTTTAAAGATTTTTATAATTTAATCAAAATAGGAGGGTATATGCCATTGTGCCCAGCTTGAAAGATTCTTGAGGGATTGATTTTCTACAGTACTGTATAGTAGATGACAATACAGATACAGCTACTCTTAGCCCAACAGTCCAGGACGTTTCTACTTTGTCATATACATGCATCATCTTATAAATCTGGGGGGTTAATGTGCCCATTTTACATGATGGGAAACTGAGGTGCTTACAGTAGGAGAACACTGAGGTCATGTACTATGCCAAGTGAGTGCCAGTCCTGTTGGACAGGGAAGGTTTCTTTAAGATATGGGATGTGATTTCATCTTTAAAGGATATGCAAGGTTTAGAGACGATGAAGGAACTATTTAGTTTCAGTTTAGGAAAACAACGTGAGTTCTGAAAGTCTAGGCAGGATGAAAAAAAAGGACAAAGTTCAAAAGCAGCAAAGGAAAAGAGCAGAGACATCTGCCTGTATAGTTTCCTGTGCAGAAATGGAAAGAGGTGAGATTAGTGCAGTAAAGTGGAGGTAGATTTTAAATTCTTGGCTTCTAAGCTGAGTCAAAATTTGAGTTTGTGCGAGGCGAAAGTGAAGATTTTGAAAGTGTGAAAACTATAAAATTAATCTAGCTTTACATAGGCTAGAGAGCTAAAAATAGGGTAGGATGAAGAGTGAAAATAGCCAGGTCGGTTAGGAGTTTAATCCTAGAATACTAGTAAATGTCATGAGGGACCTTTCTAGAATCGAACGATGAGACTGGAAGTAAAAGTAGAATTTATTGTGAAAGAAGACATTAAATGGTGTGAAATTGGGCTGAGGGGCAGCCCAGCAGCGTGGTGCCTACCTGGCAGCAGGAGGAGCCGAGTTAAATTCCCAGCTCGAAAAAAAAAAAAAAAATTGTAGAAGGATATATAAAGGCAGGACTCTTTGGAATAGTAACTCCTCCAACTAATGAAAGTCTGAAAGACTCAAAAAAGACATCAATTGGAAATTAGTTCAGTTTTGGAAATGTTGATTTGAGGTGACAGGAGTACATTTAAGATGCCATTAGGCTTTTATAAACAGGGAAGCACAAGAAAAGAGATGAGAGCAGAAGATGGAATCATCTGTAGGAATGATGGGTCAGTTTAGGGGAAAGAATGGAAGAGTGCGGAGGAAGGAGCATTAGTGTTTCTTGGTGGTGAAGTACAAAACTAGTGAATGAGATAACGTGTTCTATTGGGATCTGTCTAGATGCTTTAAGGTATGTGATCTTAACAATATAGTCCGGGTGTTTTGTATGTGGTGAAAGCAGGTGTGCTTCTTGTTTACGTTAAAAGTTTTTTTTGCTATGCGTTGGTGCACACCTGTAATCCTAGCACTCAGGAGGTTGAAGCCAGAGAATCGCTTAGTTCAAGGCCAGCCAGGACTATACAGTGAACTCAAGGCCAGTCTGAACTACACAGTGAGACCCTGTGTCAAAACAAGTAATTTTTTTCTTTGTAAATGTATAAGATATGATGGATCATTTTGTTTTCTAAATAAAAAATTAGTATATTAGTACTAGGCATCTGTAGTTAGTTAGAACTGCTCTATCTGTCATTAATGAAGGAAAGTTGAACTCAGTAGAGGTGTGTTGTGATTTTGCTGTAGGTACCCACCATTCCTGCTTTTGATGACCTAAAGTATAATCACTTTAAGGCAGTTGAGCACTGATAATCTGAATAGGAGGAGACCCTTTTCCATGCAGTATTTCTTGCTCTTTATTTAATTTGTTGCTTTTAATCTAGTTATTTTTCTCCTTAATCATTTTGTAAAAACAACCAATATGTATGTGGCAAGAACAGAGAGAGATGAACCTTAAGATATATCTTATTGTTAAAACTGTTAAATAGTTCCAAGATACCTTATCTCCTCTTACTTGGCTTTTTATAGAATTTTTAGTTTAATGTTAGATTAAATGTTAGATTAAATAAGAGATTTCTTGGGTTAACATTCTTAGTCTAAAAATAATGCCAAAATTACTGAATTTGAACTGTCATCTGTTAGAATTTAAGTAAGTGACCTCATTTAGTAAGTCATAGAGAATGTATGTAGAAAATTAATAATGAAGAAAGATGAGAAAGAGGTAATAGAGGATTTCTAGGGTTTTCATGGTTTATCTGAGAACTATGTTATTCCTTAACCCTGGATGAGACTTCCCTAATACGTACTAGTTCACATTAACCTTTCACTGGTTTAGACTGCTTTTAAAATAAAAACTAGACAGGAAGCCAGTAATTTTCCTTGGGTGAGGGCTTAATGGTATAGTGCCCAAAGCAGTCAGTTCTTTTCACTAGTACCTGTATTTTGTTACTGTAGCATCCTGGCATCTTTGGGAGCAAAAATAGAAAAGGAATCTGGCATTAGATTTTGGCATATTTTTCTGTGAGTCATGATTCAAAGAGTGTAGTTTCTATTTAGTTACAGAGAAGAAGAAATTTGACACTGTGCCATTGGAATAAAGGCTAATTTTACAAAATAAAAGTATGTATTTTTAATCAATCCAAAACTGAAAATATACCCCTTAATTCTTAGCCAAATGAATGTGATTGATAATTTTTTATTTTTTGTGATTGATAATTTGAGAAATATTGTTAAAATATTTCAGAATTGAATGTAATGTCAGTGTGTTTGAAGATAGAATAAGCAACATAGAACATTAGGCTTCATTTGTTTTCTAAGCAGATATATGACCATTTTCAATGTTTTAAAATTATTTTAACAATAAACAAAAATCATAAGTAATTGCATTATGTAAAGTTCCTGTGTTTATTTATTTATTTATTTATTTTGTCTTTTTCCTTTTTACCGGTACCAGGGATCGAACCCACGACTGCCTGCTTGCAAGGCAGGCGCTTATGCCGCTGAGCTAAATCCCCAGCCCCCAGTTCCTGTGTTTATAAATTGGCATTTCATGTAGCTGAGGATTTTTGAGACATTTTTGTAGTCTTTTGATATAGTTTACAAGTTTATAAAGTCTCCTAGAACTTACGGTTTACTTTCTAGAGTTATGGCCAAAATTAAAAAATGTATTTATGTAAATTTAAGTCACAAACTTAATGGTGTTGAAGGTCGCACTCATTTGAAGATGTGCTGACCCTAGGGCCTGGACGTATAGCTCGGTAGTAAAGGTATGCTTAGCATGTGCAAGGCCCTAGAGTCAATCCCCAACGCAGAAACAAAAAACAAAGCCCACAGTCAACTCAACCGTAAAACATAAGGACCTTTTAAATTGTAGATGTTAATTTTAACCACAAACCAAATTAAAAGATTTCAAGGTATTTCTCAGTAGTACACAAATTTGCACTATAGTGTATCACTTCTTAATTTAGATAAATTAATGCCAACTTCAGGTAAAGCAATACATGGCAGTTTCTTCTGTATTTACCATGAAGTAACTAAAAAATATCCTTAAGAAAGAAAGTAAACAGATCAGTTGAAGTTTTGTTGAAATATGTGGTGGTAAAGAAACTATTTCTGTTCAAAATTATATAGATGTTATGTACAAATTATTATGTTTGAAATCATTTATTGAAATCTCTTTCTTACATAGCAATTTCATCATGAAAACATGGTTACTCTGATTGACGTTTTTAAACAGAAAAAGAAAATTCACTTGGTGTTTGAATTTGTTGACCACACAGTGTTAGATGAGTTACAACACTATTGTCATGGACTAGAGAGTAGACGACTTAGAAAATACCTCTTCCAGATCCTTCGAGCAGTTGAGTATCTTCACAATAATAACGTAAGTGCTTTATAGTAAGCTAAGTTAAGCTATAGGACGAATGTGAATCATGGGTGTCATTTGATGCTATCTTATTTTTATGAAGTTCTTATAATTCTTTTCCCCTACAGGACAAAGGGACATCTTGAAAATAGGTATGGGGAGTATCATTCCCTGACAACTTTGTTGGAGAACTAAAAAATATTTACTGTAACTATAGGACAGACAGTGTGAGATATAAAAGGTAGTGTCAGTGATTTGGCTTAGAAGTATCAACAGTCACCTGAGGCGCCTTTAATTGGGAAAGTACATGATAATATTGAGAGTCAAGGCTGATGGGTTAGTGGGAGGATTTGAAGGAAGTAGAGATAAAGCCAGGCAAGTAGCAAGCCAGTGTAGAACTCTTTACAGGAAGAAGGGGAAAGCTACGTGGCTAAGAGGTGTAGGGGCTTGTCATTTAATCTATGGCAAATCAAGACAGAGAAGATCAACTCTTCTGACTTGTAGTGTTGATTTTAGCATTTCCTAGTTTAACTCAGCAGGTTTTTTTTAATGGAACTTTATTTGTTCTGCACGTGGCTTTACTTTCTGGAAATTACATATGTATTCAGGAAATACCAGTAAATTATATATTCAAGAAAGAAGAGTAAACATTTTAAAAACTAATTTTACATTGGTGATTCAAGTATAACACCATATATTCCAGTATATTTCAGGTCAGATGTCTTAGTTTCTAATTTCCTGACTTGCTAATAATGCAGCTCATTTTGTGGCTTTGAAATGAAAGTTGGGTATGCTAGCAGCCTGACTTCAGATTGTAATTTTCTTACCGGCCAGTTCCACGGGGAGGTGACGATACTGAAGACAGTATATCAGTCTTTGGAATCAGACTATCCTGTGTTTTTACCACTGAGTAATTTGTGAAAACTCAAACAACTTGTGCAGCCACAGGTCACAGTCCCACGACTGTGGCCTTGGAAAGTTATCTAACCCTTTCTATACAATGACACCGTCATTCTGCACAGATTTTTTAAAAGATCAAATTAAGTATTGGTTTAATGAGTTTACCATTCTGGCAAGCATGTTTTAAGTGCTGAGTACATTGTGCTGGCAGGGAGTCAGGAACAGTTGTGTTATCATTGTATCTCTACAGTGTCTTGTCTGTACTAGAGTCCAAAAATATTTCTTGGATGAAGAGAGGTGTTGGTATGGACCGAACAGCCTTTGGAAATGAGGTGAAACTAAAGTAGGATGTGAACTGTAGCTAGACTGGAAGAGGAAATGCATTCAGATGGGGTAGCACTGTGAGAGTAGAAATAAATCAGACGAGGGCTCCAGAGAGTGGTGAGAAGTGAAGTTCCCAGGACGCCAGGACAGGGAGCTGACAGGCCCTGGGGAGGGAGAGGTTCTACAGGGTCTGAGGGTGACCCTTGAGCTCCAGCCAAGAAGCCTGGGATTTTTCCTGAGGACACTGGGAAACCTCTGGAGGGTTTTGAGCATTGTGTGTGACAGGATAAAAACAAAATCTAAGCTTACATTCACAAGAGTAGAAGGTAAAAGAATGGGTAGAGACACTAAAGATCAGATGACATGCTGGGTGACACTTGTGATATGAAAGGTAAAGGCTTGGCAGCAGGAGGGAGGGAGAGGAAGAGTGATGGGGAGCAGATGGGACGATTTCAGAAGGGAAATGGTGGGCGTTGGGAGCTGACTAGATGTGGGGGTGAGAACAAAAGATGAAGTTAAAGGCAGATACAAGATTCTGAGAGCAGAATAACGCTGCCATTGGTATAGCTGACTTCAGAAAGGGAAAGAACTTTTAGATGTATTAAGGGACGATGAGATTTTTCCAGGTAAAAACGACATGGCTTACCAATGGTGTCATGGGTTTCACAAGCTATCAAGAGGGACACAGATTTGGGAATCCCTGTCTGAGACAGGGATGAAGTTGAAGGAGAAGAAGGGGTGGATCGATCTCAGAGATGAAAGGAAGGCAAAGTGGTTCTCAGCACCGGGTGTGGCAGAGGCTCTGAGAGGGGCGGAGGGTGGTGAGAAGGAGGCCCACACAGAGCCCTGCGCTCTGCTTCTACTGATTTTATTTAGGGCCTAGAGTAAAATTTCCATGTCCTTTACCCCCCAGAACATTAATTACATTTGAGAAGTAAGGCAGCGGGGAAGGAATAACTCGTGAAAATAGATATTATTATACCTATTATCTGAATGCTTGAGTTTAGGCCTTGATTTAAGGTTATCATCATGTTGAAAAAACCAGAAATTTCAAAGGATTGATGTTTGATATAACTAAAAGGTCTGAGATACTGCCTATCATGATAGCCCATTGACCTTTTTAATAAGAATTGTGAATTCATGAATTCAACCAGTTTAGAATCAGAAAAAGCTTTTTATTAAATCTCTGTATTTGTTTACCTTCTTATTTGATAAAACCTTTTGTGTGTGTGTGTGTGTGTGTGTGTGTGTGTGTGTGGTAACACTAGAGATTGAACCCAAAACCTTCCCACTGAGCTATATCCTGGCTCTTTTGGTATTTTTTATTTTGAGATAGGGTCTTGCCAGATCATTACATTGCCTTGGTTGGATATGAACATTTGCTGCTCCTTCCTCAACCTCCTAGAGTGCTGGGATCACAGGTGTGTGCCACCACGCCCAGCCACGTGTTTCCTCAAATAAAATTTAACAGTTGCATGAACTAGTTCATTATAGGAATATCATGCAGCTGCCTCATACTAGTGGTCAGGTTTGACCGGATATTATAAACCTCTTCAAAACCATTTTGGGCGAGAGAGGGTAGGTAGCTCAGTGGCGGAGAATGTGTTTAGCATGTGTGAAGCCCTGGGTTCAAACGCTAGCACCAAAGCAACGACAAACTTTGGAAGCGATCAGAATACAAATGCAAACATTGGGCCACTTATGGAGGATACACGTTTCTTAGCTCATTTGTTTATTTAACGTATATGCATTGGGCATCTACCAGTAACAAGCATTTATTTTACTGGGTTCTGGGCTATACCCTTCAGCAGAACACTTCATTCCTACTTTTAGGGAGTTCGTTATCCAACTTTCCGTAAATTTTATGAGTTATGAGTAATTCTGACTAATAGCTAAGGATTGTGGAGCTTTCCTAACCTCAATCCAGCACCCTATTCCACAAAGCCCTACTTTCCTAAATTTAGGCCACTTTTACATATTTTCTGAACTCTCCCTTTGGGTTTTGAACTCCTACTTTTTTTTTTTTTTGGTCTTTTTCCTTTTTATTGGTACCAGGGATCGAACTCACGACTGCCTGCTTGCAAGGCAGGCACTTATGCCACTGAGCTAAATCCCCAGCCCCGAACTCCTACTCTTTTAAACAAAGAATTGTTGTTACTGAAATATTTAACAGCTGTTAATATTTTGCTGTGTATCTATTTTGTTTCGTAAAGTAATTTAAAGTGCATTAGCACCAACCTGAATTTTAGTGTAGAATACTTCCCTATATATATCTCTCTTAGGACAATTTCTTATATAAGCTCAAAATCAGCATTGTGTCCTAATTTATATTAAACTTTACCTAATTATTTAAAAAATGTCTTTAACAACTGTTTCTTACATTCAGTATCTGGTTAAGAACTGGAATTTTTGCCCATTTAGTTTTTAGGCAAATAGGAAATTGACAGTTTTGCAGCCTGCCTTCCACATTATTATTCAGTCTAGTTTTTGCAGGCTGACTTATTTTTTCATTTAAACCCAAGCAATTTTTTTTTTTTACTTTTTTTACTGTCTTTTTTTGAGACAGAGTTTTGCTATGCAGTTCAGGCTGGCCTTGAGCTCACTTTGTAGCCCAGGCTGGTCTTAAACTCACAACGATCCTCCTGCCTCAGCCTCCCAAGTGCTGGCATAAGCCACCATGCCCAGCTTAACTAGGAATTTTTATATGACACCAAGTAGGAAAATTGGTTAAACTGAAGCTGTATTTGGTTTAGAATTCAGGCTCTGTGACTGTTGGAGGTTGAGGAGGTTTGAATTCTCTTCCTTTTTGATGTTTGGTTTTGTTTTCTTAGTTTTTTGTTTGTATTGCAAATTGAACCCAGGGCTTTCACACTGCTATGTCTTCAGCTCTTTTTATTTTTTATATTGAGATAGGTCTAACTCATTAAACTGCCCAGATTGAGCTTGAATATATCATCTCCTGCCTTAGTCTCCCAGAATGCCAGCATTACAGGCCTGCTCCTTTTAAAAACAAAAAAAAACAAAAACAAAAACAAAAACAGAAGAAGGAGCACATAAATTTGTTACTTGACTAAAGCAAGAGTTTATTAGGCACGTTGAACTCTATTCTAGAGGGCATTTAAATTCAAGGATATGGGACTGCATGGCATAGCGGTATTTTATATCACATCACAATGTGGAGTTTCATGTTGTGCTGTGGCTGAGTACTCTTCAGCTACGAAGTAAAGAAAAGTCAAACTCTGCTTAAACTCACAATTCAGTAGTATCGTTTGAATTCAAATTTGAAAGTTCATACTAATCTACAGACATTAACCTAAATTGCCTGAAAGACCTAAATGTAGGAGCTAAAAATGTAGTAGCTGGGGATGGTGGCACTTGGAAGGCTACAAAGTGAATTCAAGGCCAGCCTGAACTGCATAGTGAGACCCTGTCTAAAGAGACGGGGAAAAAATAAACCATTACCATATGAATGACTTCATGACCCAGTAATTTCACTCCTACATATAGATCTGAAAGAATTAAAAACATGTTCACACATTAGTGCTAGAAGCTTTATTAGTAAGAGTCAAGAAATTGAAGTGAACCAACTGTGTTTTAGCCATGAGTGGAAAAACGAATGAGATGTGTCCATTCAGTGGAGTTTATCAGGCCACAAAATGAAAGTACTGATACAGGCCATAACGTGAAGGAATCTTTTTCTTTTTTTTTTTTTTTTTGGTACTGAGAATCAAATTCAGGACCTTGTGCTTCCAAGGCAGGTACTATGTCATTGAACTACGTCCCCGGCCTAACATGAATGAATCTTGAAAACATGTTAAATAAAAAAAAAAAGCCAGACATAAAAGACCACATATTTTTCCATCTAAGTGAAATATCCAGAATAAACAAATGTATATTTTATATCTTTTGAGCAATTTCTCTTCAGTTCTAATGCCCATTTTTAAATTTGAGGTTTTTGGTTTAGAATTGAGGCTCTGTGACTGCTGGAGGTTGTACAGGTTTGAATTCATTGTATCATTGAGTTGCATTTTATGTATTTTGGTTACTAGCTGCTTATCATGTACATGATTTTATAAATATTTCCTCCCATTTTGCTTTCTCTATAGTGTGATTTTCTTTTTCTTTTTTTTTTTTTTGTGCCAGGGATTGAACTCACAGCTTCGTACTTGCAAGGTAGGAACTTGCACCACTGAGCTAAATCCCCAGCCCCTGTCATTTTCTATTTAGTTTTTTTGTAATAATTTCTCTTTACTAATACTATTTATTTGAACATTGTGTTCTTACTTTTTGGTAGTTCTTTTGGCTCCTTTGTTCTTTGAATATATTTAAATTAGTTGATTTAAAGACTGCTTAGTTCAATATCAGCTTCTTCTGGAAAAATTTCTTTTGAGTACTTCATTTCATGTTTATGGGTCATACTTATTTCTTTGCATACCTCATACATTTTAGTTGAAAACAGGACATTTTCAATAATTTGGCCGCTCTAGAGGTTAATTTTTCATTTCTTAGGGATTGTTGCTGTTTGTTACTTTCCTGAACTAGTTTTGTTAAGCCTGTGTTTTTTTCAAATCAGTTTGGCTTAGTAGTCAGCTACTAAATGAGTAAACAGACTTAAGTTCATTTGCAGAGTTCTGCAACTATTAGCACATCTGGTTATAGAACATTCTCATCAGTTCAAAAAGATTTCTGAGGCTTCATTGAACTCAGTCCCAGTATCTTCCCCGGTTCTAGACAGTCGGTAATTTGCTTTCTGTCCATAATTACACCTCTCCTAAACCTTTCTTTGTTTGTTTGTCTGTTTCTTTCTTTCTTTCCTTTTGAGACAGGGTCTCACTATGCAGTTTAGGCTGTCTTTGAGCTCACTTTGCAGCCCAGGCTGGTCTTGAACTCACAACAGTCCTCCTGCCTCAACCCTCCTGAGTGCTGGGATTACAGATGTGTGCTTATAAATGGAATCATACAATATGTAGCCTTTTACATATGGCTTTTTAAACTTAGCATAATGATTCTGAAGTTTATCTTTGTTGTTGCATGTATTGTTTACTTGCTGAGTAATACTCTGTTGTATAGCTAATGGTTCATTTTATTTATCATATACCAGTTGATGGATATTCCATTATTTTTTGTTTTAGGGACAGGGTCTCACTATATAGTTCAGGCTGATCTTGAACTCACTATGTAGCCCAGGTTTGCCACAGACTTATGGTGATCCTTCTGCCTCAGCCTCCCAAGTGCTGCAATTACAGAACTGTGCCACCAAGCATGGCTGCTTCCCATCTTTTGAATGTGATTTACCTTTATAGTATTGTTTGTCTTGGCTTCATTTCACTTGGAAGTGCTGGATGGAGAAATAATTAAAAATATATAACTATTTTTACATAGTTTTACTGTCTTAACTAGCTAGATTTTCTCTCTCATTTTGAAGAGATTCCCCAGATAAAGCAACTTTGTTTTAATATATTTCATTTTCTGTTTACTTTGTAGGTTATTCATCGAGATATAAAACCTGAGAATATTTTAGTGTCCCAATCAGGAATCGCCAAGCTCTGTGATTTTGGTTTTGCACGAACTCTAGCAGCTCCTGGTGACATTTACACAGATTATGTGGCCACACGCTGGTACAGAGCTCCAGAACTAGTGTTAAAAGATACTTCTTACGGAAAGTATGTATATATTTGGGGAACCTGCCCACCTCTGCCAAGCATCTCTTTTTTTCCTTACTACTGACATGCTCTGCCCTCTGTGTCAGGACTGGGGCTAAGAAGAGCGACACCCCCAAAGGAGCAAGAAGATCTTACACCTGTACCACCAGCTGCTGCTGGTGTGCTTCCCCTGGGTGGCTGGAGACCTGTGCAGGGCTCTTCGGGATGTGTTCATGCTTGCCAGGCCATTAGCAGAGCTGCCCCTCTGTCTAGCATTTTTTTTTTTTTTGAGGCAGGGTCTCACTCTGCAGTTCAGGCTGGCTTGAATTCACTTTTATAGCCCAGGCTGGCCTTGAACTTGTAGTAATTCTCTTGCCTCAGCCTCCCAAGCATCAGGATGATAGGCATGAGCCACCGCGCTCACTTCAGCCTCTGCTTTATTTTTAGTGTTTTGTTTTTGTCTTTTTGAGAGAGAGCCTTGCTATGCAGTTCAAGCTGGCCTTAGGCTCACTTTGTAGCTCAGGCTGGTCTCGAACTTGGCAACAATCCTCCTGCCACAAGCCTCTACTTTTTGCAAAGATTTTAGAATCATTTAACTCCTGCCAGAGTTGTAATAAGATCTGCCAAGTTCCCTGTTTCTTGGAAAAATGACAGCCTCTTTGCAAAGACTGGCAAACAATAATTTTTATATTGTTGTGCACCAGATGCCTCAAAAGGGAGCAGACCAATGTAAAATGGCAATCTAAAATACAAATAATCAGTCCCAAAGAGCATAAAGATGTACAGTTTAATACAAATGGGGGACAATTCTTGTGTGCTTTTCCTGGAAGATATTATTCTGTCATTATAGTAATATCTAATATTAATGAGTGCATTCTGCTGGAAACTGTTCTAAATGTTTTATAGGCAGTAAGTCATTTAATCTTCACAACAGCCCTACGATGAAGGTACTGGTAGTATTCTCTTTTTATGTTACTGTGCTTCAGATTGAACTCAGGGCCTTGCGATGCAGAGTGCTCTGTCATTGAGCTCACCTTCCCCACCTTCCCCTCTCAAATAACGGGACACGGAGGCACAGAGAGCTAAAGCAGTTGCTTGACATCATCACACAGCCGATGATAGTGGCAGGAGCAGGCTTCTGACTGCTGGGGGCTGAGTTTACAGTCCATGCCCAGAGTGCTTCTCAGCTACACGGTTCATCTCTGTGCCTTCTGTCCAGTGGAGGAGCAGTAGGACCCCTGTCATAGGCTTGTTGTGAGAGTTAAATGATATGCTGATAGGATTGAAATACAGTGAACGGTGAATACACGTTTGGAGCTCTGTAAATGCTACATCCTTTTTGCTTGTGGACATAATACAATCTCCATAAAAATCTGTGTTCCAATTTGCCTTTGTTTCATACTTACAGTTCAAAGCCTATATCCTCTTCTAGACCCTCTCATTTATTATTTGTAAATTTTGTGCCAGTTAGGTTTTTTCTTTTTTTGTGGTACTGGGGATTGAATCCAGGTCCTTTGCAGTGAGCTACTTTCTTACCTCTTTTTATTTTGAGACAGGATCTCCCTGAGTTGCTCAGGCTGGATTTTGACCTTTTGATCCTCCTGCCTCAGCCTCCCAGAGTACTGGGATTGCTCCTGGCCTAATATTTAACATGGCCTAGTTCTTCCTTTAGCTCAAGCGTTCTCTCCATCTCTTTCTAGGTCAACCCCTCTACCTCTTCTCTCCCCCCAACCTTTTGCTAAAAGATAAGTTCCTTGAGCACAGGCATCATCTCTTGTATTCTACGTAGCCAGATTTAATGCTTTGCTTTGGATTCTGTACATTCACATTGTGTTTGGAACAAATTTGCTAGTGAGTCTTTTCATTTTTTTTCATTTTTTTTCATTTTTACCGGTACCGGGGATCGAACTCACGACCGCCTGCTTGCAAAGCTGGTACTTATGCCGCTGAGCTAAATCCCCAGCCCCCTAGTGAGTCTTTTCTAAAAACTTTTTTATTGTGAGAAATAAAATGATGGAAATCCTCATATAACAAATGTATAGCTCCACCAAATTAAAAAATGGAACTTCGCCAACCACTCCCAAAAACCCTTTGTGTGTGCTCTGTCCTTTATGCCATAGGTAACCAGGATGCTGACTTTTGGGGGGTGGTTTTGAACTGCTGTGCAGCTCAGGCTGTCCTTGGACTCACTTATGTAGCCCAGACTGGTCTCAGACTCACAGGGGTACTCAGCCTCACAAGTGCTGGGACTACGCTGAGGACCACCACACACAGCTCCATACTGACTTTTCTTTTCTTTTTTTATCTTTTTCTTTTTATCGGTACCAGGGATCGAACTCATGACCACACACTTGCAAGGCAGGTGCTTATGCCGCTGAGCTAAATCCCCAGCCCCATATCAAGTATTTCTTAAAATGAGGTTTGCTATGGATTCTAGCTGACCTTGAGCTCACTGTGTAGCTCAGGCTGGCCTTGAACTCGCGGCAATCCTCCTGCCTGTCTCCTGAGTGCTGGGATTACAGGCATGTGCCCCATGCCCAGCCCATTTTTTTAATCTAGTTTTATTTTGTGATAACTTTTTGAGTTATGATTCATATACCAAAGAGTCACTGGTTTAAAGTGTAAAATTTGGTGGTTTTTAGTGTATTTGCAGAGCTGTGTGACATTACCACCATGGTTTTAGCGCATATATTATCAACCTGGAAAGAAGCTTGCACCCACTAGCAGCTCTCTCCATTTCTTCCCAGTCCTTCCAAGCCTAGCTAACCATCTATTTGTCTTTTTCTCTGTGAAGGTGCAGAGTCTGAATGCTCCATGTAAATGAAATTATACAATATGTGGTGCTTTGGGGCTGTTTTCTTTCATTTAGCAAGATTCGTCCATTCATGGCAACATGTCATACTTCATTTCTTTCATTCCATGCATGAATATACTACATTTTTTAGGCATTCATCAGTTGACAAACATTTGGCTTTTTTTATTTCTTTGTAATTGAGAATAATGCTACAATGAACATTTGTGCATGTTTTCTTCACATATGTTGTTGTATCTTTTGGGTATATACTGTACCTAGAGTTAGAATTATGGTCTATATGGTAATAATTATTATTATTATTATGTACCAGGAATCAAAATCATAGCCCTGTGCTTGCCAGGCAGGCACTTGTGCCACTGAGCTATATCCCTGGACCTATATGGTAACTATATGCTTAATCTTTTGAAGAACTTACAGACTGTTTTCCAAAGTGTTTGCATCACTATTGTCTTCCCACCAGCCAAATGGGAGATTACATTTTCTCTATCTGCTTGTATATCTTAAGCTTATCTGTTGAATCAAGACCATTTGCTTTGGTGAACTTTTTAGTCATAATGGAGTAAGCAACAACTAAAGTTCTCTATCTTTTATATATTTCCTGCAAATCGAAAGCTGGACCCATATTGTATGAGGCTCAATCACTTGGCAAGACTATGGGCATTATTTCTTCTTTGATCAGGAGGCCCATAATATGTGAATTTCTTGTTGTGATTTTTAGCATCCATTTTTAAAAAATGATTAGATCCATCCATTTATTTGCAGAGTGGTAGCATTTTAACTTTATTTTCTCTTTTTAATTTATTACTTAAAATTTGTTTTTTACAAGCCAGATGTGGTGACACATACCTGCAATCTCAGTACTCAGGAGGCTGAGGCAGGAAGATCATGATTTTGAAGTCAGCCTGGGCCTAATAGATTCAAGATTGCTTGAACTAGGTAGTGAGACCCTACCTCAAAAAATTAAAATAAGTAAATAAAAAATAAAAAGGAATACTTTTATGGAGGGATGTTTTCCCTCCTTTAGATACCCACTAATAGAGTTCATAAAGAAAAAACCTGGATAAATAATTAACTTATCAATTTTTAAGATGAGTTACAGTAAGCCCCATGACTTATAAGTGAATTTCAATGTTCAAGGGAACATTTGTAAGTCGGCTTTGTTCACTGAGTCCAGCAAAGCGGGTCCCTTCTAGCTTTGACACAGATATACAGCATGCATTGCTCTGCCCCTGCTAGCAGCACCCTCCGCATCTCCCTGCCTTTCCTGTTGCTGCCAGGCTGGGCTCTGCCTGAGCCTGTAGTGCTGTGCACCGTCACACTGCACAGTGAGCACACGACAGCATGGCTACAGAGGTACCTGGCAAGCTATGGGCGGCCTAGGCAGTGTGTTCACACCCATGAATGTCTGTCTGTTCTCCCTCTTACCTTTTTTTTTTTTTTTTTTTGGAGTGCTAGGGACAGAGCCCCCAAAGTCCCTCACGTGGTAGGCAAGTGCTTACCACTGAGCTCTGTCCCCAACCCTTTTTTAAAATCATTTTTTATTTTACTTTTTAGTCTTACTGAGACAGGGTCTCGCTATGCAGTTCAGACTGGCCTTGAGTTCACTTTGGAGCCCAGGCTGGTCTGGAATTTGCAACCATCCTCCTGCCTCAATCCCCCACGTGCTGGGATTATAAGACATGTGCCACCGTGCCTGGCTCAAATGCAAGGTCTGTCTGTATCTGTGAAAGTTTGTGACTCAAATGTTCATAACTCAGGGACTTACTGTAACTCCAAAAGATGACCTCCAAAAGCTACCAATTAAGGTTTAATTTTTTTTTTTTTTTTTGGTACCAGGGATCGAACTCATGATTTTGCACTTACCAGGTAGGCACTTACCCAATTAAGCGTTTAAAAAGGAGACTGGAGGTGTAGCTTAGTGGTAAAGTGCTTGCCCAGCATGCGTAAAGCCCTGGGTTCAGTCTTCAGTGCTGTCATGGACTGTCATGGACAAACACATTTAAGGGGTTTGATTGCATTGCAGTGGTAGAGTGTCGGTGTCACTCCCGGCCGGCAGGAAGGACACACAACAAAGTCTGGCAGTGAACAACCTTTTCTTTTATTTTCCTTCTCCGTACAGCCTGCCCCGGGAATCCTCCCGGCCGAAGCCTCTGTTGGTCCGCTCCCCGCGGCTCCTTGCGTGCTTCTCCCTACAGTCTGTCCCGAA